TTACCTTTATGATGAGAACAAATACCAAAATCCATAAGAATTAGCAACTTTATCGATGAGGTCATACAATTTTTTTGTGGCCTGAGCTATATCAGCCAATGCAGTACCATGGGGGCCCCAAGGTTCGTCATCCGTAGCATCCAATACCTATTCAAATAAAAAATCACTACATTTTAATCAGATCACAAAGGGGATAGGAGACAGAGCATATGATGAAAATCCATTGTTTTTAAATGTGAAAAAATAGAAAGCCATATGCGCAATTGCTTTAGGATGGTACCATGATAACTTTAACTGCAAGATTTATTCCCTAACAACCCACAGAAGAAAGAAGAAGAAGAAAAAGGAAATGCAGCAGAAGTAGAACTGGCATAGGAAGAGGACTACATATAGAAGATGAAGAAGTAGGAGTCATTTCAAAGGGGGAAAAGGAAGATAAGAGGCAATTCTGAGAATTTGCAAAACAATACTAGTTATAGAAGAATTGCTGCAACCCACAGAGAGAAGACAACAAAAAGTACACAGAAGTGTATCGTGAGAGGAGTCCTACTATTCACAAGTGAAGGTCCTATTTCTTTATCCTCCTTTTCTCCTTTTTTTTCTTAATCTTTTAAGATCAAATTCAAAGAAGTGATAGCTTGTCCCTCTGATTATTTTGTGCCTCACTGTCTGAAGACCACACTTCTTCAACTCGCCCCATTTCACCCATAAGAAACGGTGGTCCCTCACTTCACATGCCCTCTCATGATTACCTGTAAATAACTCATATATGATGCAATCTATATAACTAAAAGTTTCCGCAGTAATCTCACCATGTAGTCTGCTTTTTTTTCCCCGTATCTCACTATCTGATACTATTGTGTGCATGTGGAAAAGTAAAACAGAAAAAGCCATAACCACATGCCTAGACAAATAAAATCACCATCAGCTCGACATTATTATGACTTTCACAAATCTCATTTGCGCATCAAATGATGACTTTTTAAAGATAAACAAATTTTGTTTGCTAAACTTATCTTCAGTGACCCAACACATTGTTGCTTATTCCATTGTTCTTTTATGTTTTCTTTGCTATTATTTTTCCTCCCTCTATCAGGTAACAGAGAAGGGAAAGCAAGGATATCCTTAAAGCTTTAAAATGCAAGGCTAGGTTCTCAACAGTATAGTGACTCTAGAAGGCAACCCAACAAGCAAAAGAATTACCAGGCTAGAGTAATCTTTTTTGCACTCCCGTAATGCATTTCTTAAACCCTAAAGGGCATGTCATATAAATGACGCTAAATTATAACTCGAACAAAGGAAATCGTGTAGTTATTGTTTTTCCTTTTTCCAGTTGCAGGAGATACTGATTGTTGTTTGTGTGCTATGGATACAGTAGAGACTCAGCAACATCTTTTTGTAGATTGCACATGGATTGTAGAGGTTCAGGGAGCAATGAGTAGATGGTCTGGCATCCCAATCCCAACCAAAAATGTAGAGGAATGTATGCGCTGGATCAAGAGCAGATAATGGAGACAATTTCGCAAGGAACTAGCAGCAGCAATATGTGGTGCCTTGATCTATTATGCATGGCAAGCAAGAAACTGGAGAGTGTACAGGGGTTTGAATATAGACACAGGATTTATAACAATACAAATACAGAAGGAAATTAGAGAAAGGGTGAGCATGATCACAGGATCTCGGTAAGAAAGAAGATGCCAAGTTTTGATACAGAGAATTTGAAATTAATAGAGGTTTTGTTTGTTTCTTTTTGGAAAGTATGATGGAGGTCTAGCTATAGAAGCTGAATAATCTTCCTAGAAGGGGATTCAGATCACTAGATGCTCTTAGATTGTAAAAACATGTTGAGTTGCTTTGGTTGGTATGAGAATATTCACAGTTTATTGCCAAAAAAAGGTAAAGTCCGAAGGCTGTTCCTGTCCCTGTCGGGGGAGATGCCAACCATCTCTCCTTTCTACGAACACATGTTTTCCTTTTTTTATTTTGGACAAATAAGGTGATTATGATGACAAAAATCATCAAGAAGTGCAAAAGATTACATGTGCAGAAAAAGCCAGGTGTAACAAAAACTAAAAGGTGCAGATCAGCATTAAAATACAGCACCATAAGGTCTCTGGTTCAATTCTCAGCAGACACAAAAAACACTAGGTGATTTCTTGTCAACAGGCTCCCATCCATCTGATACTTGTTGATGATGGAAGGTGGCATGTATCCGGTGGAATTAGTCGAGGAGCACACAAGTTGTCCCGGACACAATGATATAAAAAAATAAAATACAGAGCACAGAAACTACAATATCCTCGGATCTTAATCTCTTATGGTCAATTCCCATTAAACCCAACAAAGTTGTCCACACAATTAATGCAAGTTGTGTCATATGCAAAAATGACTGTCGATTCCTAACTCATGCAGTTTCCTGATCAAGATGACGGACAAACATGCTTGAAGATGTTGATGAACCATACTAATGTGAGTGACAGAATATTACAGTTCGCAATGCATGTGAGAAAGAGGTTGATATATACCACAACATATTAAGTATAAAGCTATTGATCAACGAGAAGGAAACTGAAAGCACCCCAAAACCAGTTCAGCAAAATCAAAAGCAGTTCAGACAAATCCTAAGTTTAGTAATCAGTCAATGTGGTTAACTTGAGCCGATTAGTGGGAAAACAAAAACTTGAATTTTCCCTTCCTTTCCCCCTTTTCCAGTTTCTTTTTTCTTTTGAAACTAGAAAGTGAGCCTTAGAACAAAGTAAAGTTGTCCCCATTTGACCTATACATCAAGGGTTCGAGTTGTAGAATTAGCTAATGAGCTTACATGAACAAATGTATGCAATGCACCCTGCCTCCCTTCTTCTTTCGCCTGTAAGACACATGCTACCTTTATTAGTGGTAGGTGCATGGATACTAACTAGACCCCACTCGTGGAATTACACCACCTATGTTTTTGTTGGTACATGGATCCTTCACACTCAACGACTTAAAATCTTGGAAAAATTTCTTAATTTCTTGGTTATGCGCCTGATGTGTATTCTACAACTATGTTGATCGGACCCTCCAAAATTGTTACCGCACCCGTTTTGAATTCTCCAAAGTCCAAAATGCACTACTTTTGAAGTATCAAACACGCACCCAAGAGTCTGAGCAACCTAGTAATCTACAAGACTATACTAACACATGCTAAAAAAAAAACAAAACTGAAAGCTGACATAATAAATTTCTAAGCATTTTTACCTTTTGCTCGATCTCTGGAACCTTCAACACTTTCAAATTAACCTCCCTCTTTCTGCAAAACACAGTATAAAACTTACAAAGATTAAAAAAAAATCTGATAGAACAGGAAAAAATTGCAAAATTATTCACCAAATTGAAATTAAAAACACGAGAAATTAAGAGGGTAAAAGGGAAAAAGGGGTTACATTTCGCGAACCGTTTGATCGAATACCTTCATGAAATCCATTATTCGATCTGCAAATCATCAAAATTCAATTAAAAAAATTAAGCTTAAATTCGTAAAAATATGTAATCGAAACTGAAAAAAATGATTCTTTATATATTTTGGTAATTTGTATGAAAAAAATATCTGCAACCGATGAGATCTCTAGAAATCTTACAATGCTCAAACAGAGATGATGAAGAAGAAAGACGAAGTTCGTTATGATTTTTTTACGTTTATTTTGTTCTTTTATATTTCCTATCGTGGATATATATAAAAAATAATGGACAAATTCTTTAATATTCATTCGTACCAAAAGCTGGTGGGTGACGTGTGAGTTAGACGCATGATAAAGGGGTGATATGTGAATTAGACTCATGACAAGAGTATTAATTGAGTTAGATGCATGAAAAGGGGTTTGGTTCAACCATGTTAATAATAATAATATATTATTTGATATATTTTATAATTGATATTGTTTTGAGAAAGGAGTTCGACCAACCGACGATATTAATAATAACAACAACATATTTAGGATATGTTTTATATGTGGTGTTTGAGAAAAGTGGTGTACATCTTTATTTTGTGAAGGCAAAATAAATAGTTTATTTTTGATAAATTTTTGAATTAAGTAACACATATCAAAATTAAGAATGAAAAATAATTACATGAATGAATAAACATATCGGGATAAAAATGTATATGAGAATAGTAATAACAATAAAATAATTAGATAATCAAGATAAGGATTTAGTTGATAAATAAATCATATCAAATATAAAGTTAAAATTATCTTAGGCAATATAATAAATATTGAATCTATATTTATCTTACGTATTTATATATTTTTAAGATTCTATTAGTTAAAGATATTGATTTGCCATTATGATTAAATACATGTCACAGATTTCAATGCATTGCTACAAAAAAACAATAACAAAAACAGATAAAAAGAGTGAACCTATATATGAAAATCCAAATCATACTTTGTGATTTTTCAATTTAAAAAGATGGTCTTTAAATAGTGAAGGAAAATATATATTAAGAAGTATAAATTTTGTGATTATAAACATATTTAATGTGAAATTATAAATCATTTATGAATGTGCTATAATATATGAGATTATTTCTTCTTTTCTTCTTTAATAAGAGGCTTTAATTTCGAAACTATACAATACGAATCTGAATTAATCGAGCTCACGATCTAACACAGATTAAATGAGAAAACAAAAAAAACTTATTCTTGTGTGAAGTTAACCCCAAATACTATTTAAATAAAAAAGTAATAAAATTACATAAATATCAAATCTTTATTCCAACTTAGAAAATCTCTTTTTATAATATAACAACAAACATATCTTAACGTAAAATTATAAATCACCCACGAATACGATGCAATAGATGAGACTGCACCTTCGGTCCTCCTTTTATAAGAGGTTTTGGTTTCAAACACATTTCCCCCAAATGAACCTTACATGACGTGAATCAATTTTTTTTTTGAATTTAACCACAAATTCTATTTAAATAAAAAATAAATAAATCTTATTTGTCTGTAATAGAAGTTTAATCAACGGCCTGTTATAGGTTACACTCTTTTCTCCTTCTCCAAATATAAGAAATCTTCAAAAGTCCCAAATTTTTAATCTCCATAAATAAAAAATAAAATAATTAAATTTCTACAAAATCATCGACCGATTGATCAATTTACTCTTCAATACTTCAAATTTTTCCCAGGTTAGTTAATGTATTCTACTGCCAATGTACCGGAAAAGAAGATGGTTGGATTGGGGAAAAAATTAGATTTTTTTCATATGAATACAAGATTTGTATGCCCATTTTTTTGATTGATTGTTTTAGTTAGTGGGTTGTGATATTTTTGAGTTTTTGTTTCAGGGATTGTGTAATTTTGAGTATTTTGGAGTTTGTGTTGGACCCAATTGATTTGGGATTGAGGGGTAGTTGATTGATCGAACTCTGGAGATTTTGCTGACTCGTATTGTAGATTGATTATTTTAGCTAATGGATGTGAAAGTTTCGATTTTTTGTTGCAGTACTTGTATAATTTTGATTATTTTGGCTAATGGGTGTGAAATTTTCGAGTTTTTGTTGTGGTAATTGTATGGTTTTGAAGTTAGACTCAATAGATTCGGGATTGAGGGGTAGTTGATTGATCGAACTGTGAAGATTTTGCCTACCCATTTTTGTAGATTGATTATTTTAGCTAATAGGTGTGAAATTTGATTTTTTGTTGCATGAATTGTATAGTTTTGAAGTTTTTGTTGAACACAATTGATTCAGGATTGAGGGGTAGTTGATTGATCGAACATCTGGAGATTTTGCTGACTCGTACTGTAGATTGATTATTTTAGCCAATGGGTGTGAAATTTTGATTTTTGTTGTTGCGGGAACTGTATATTTTTTTTAATTATTATTTTGAAGTTTTTGTTGGACCCAATGGATTAGGGATTAAGAAGAAGTTGATTAATCGAACTTTGAAGATTTTGCTGACCCATTTTGTGGATTGATTATTTCAGCTATGGGTGTTAAAGTTTCGATTTTTTGTTGCATGAATTGTGTAATTTTGATTATTTTGAAGTTTTTGTTGGACCCAATGGATTCGGAATTGAGGGGTAGTTGATTGATGGAACTTTGAACATTTTGCTGATCTTGCAGATTGATTATTTTAGCTAATGGGTGTGAAATTCCGATTTTTTGTTGCAGGAATTGTATAATTTTGAAGTTCTTTTTGGGACCCCATTGATTCGGGATTGAGGAGTAGTTGATTGATTGTTTGGTGGGTTGAACTGTGAAGATTTTTTGCTGCAATCAATTCCTGTGCAAAATCGAAAATGTTTAAGCGATTACTTGGAAAACCCAAACAAGAAACAAATGCTCTAGCAACATTAGACAAGTTAAATGAGGTATGCTCCTGTTTAACTGCCTTCTTTGAAATTTACTTCTATAGAATGGAATGAATGTAATTGAATCAATAAAGAGGATTCATATAGCCAATCTCAACTAGCTTGGAATTAAGGTCAGTTTGATAGTCGACTTGTTTTTCTTTATTGAGACAACTGATTCATAGTTGGGAGGCATCATAGAGGATTCATATAAGCATCCGAGTTTGTGATCGAAGTCTGGTTGATGAGATATCTTTTTGGGGTCAACTAATTCATGGTTGGTGATGTAAAGATCCAAACTTTCTGATGGTGAAAAAGAGAAAGAAAAAATTCATGGTTGGGGGGCATCATATGGACTCTAGGGAATTAAAATTACGGTCTTTCCTTGAAGAGTTTATGCAGAGTGTTTGTCATATCTCCGATTTCAAGGCAATTATGGTAGAAACTGCCAATACTGTTTCGACAGACGAATAACTAATTGCATGTATAATATGTACAAAGGGGCTTCTCTTTCCAGAACATCTGGGAAGAAAGTTAAGGGTTCATCTATTTCTTTTAATCTAACTACGTTAAAGCTTGTTTTCTTTTATTGAGAGTGCTCTGATAAACAGATGCTTTGTCTTTTATAATTTTCACATTTTAAACAATATTCAGGTTTAAGACAGGCTGATGCAGTTCCATAGTCGTTTCACTGTCCAAAACTGTAGAACATGAATTTTCCTGTGTTCTTTCCCCTGTAAAGCTGAACATGAATCTCATTATAATTAAGGATACAAAAGAGAGTTTTAGTTGGAAGCTGTGGGGCATTATCTTAATGCAAACTAATTCATCATTTTTGTGGTCCATTTGCAATAAATATTGTTTGGTGATATTTTTTCATATTAATCATTCTGCATACGAGGTGCAGCCCTTTTTAGTGAGTCTCAATAAGACACAGGTGGCTTATGGATACTTTTCCAGATGCATTGTGTCATACTTGTGCTCAAGTCTTTCCAAAGACCTTCACTTATTCATGTTTAGTGTCTGTTGAAGTAATTAGCTGTGTTAAAAATTATCAAGTAAATTTAAAGAGCTTCTGTTTGACTTTTGGTTATGCTTTACAGACGCTTGAAATGCTTGAGAAAAAGGAGTCAGTTTTATTGAAGAAGGCTACTGCTGAGGTTGAAAGAGCGAAGGAATTTACTAGAGCAAAAAATAAAAGGGGTATGATATCCTGAAAATCATTTGTATGAAAAGGCTAATTTTTCATACGTAGTTCCCTTGGTCAGGATATGTTTACATTAATATTTCTGCAGTTGTATTAAGTGTCCTGATTTTTCTCCATTTACTTTATTATGATGCACGTAAGAATGGGACTCTCTACTAGAAGAATCTTTGCTTACTTGTGTGGGTGAACTGTTGGATTGAGATATATTTGTATCATCTCAGAAATCATGTAATGTTGTTTGCCTTCATATTTTGTGTTAGATTATGTTGGTTCTCTATTGTGTACCTGCAAGTTTAACGTTGAAACATCAATCTGTCATTTGGTACTTCAGTTATATGTCTACCGTATAAAAGGTAAAAAAGAAAAATATTAAAAGGAGTAAATGTTGCTATATTAAGGTAAACTCTAAAGTCACGGTTGCGAATTTTCTTTTTAAGAATTAAATCATGGTTGTGAATTGTCATCTCATATTTACCTTTCTCATTGAGCTTTTCGTGTGATTTCTTTGTGGCAGAGTTAGGTTTTGTGGGGGGGGAGGGGGGAGGGGGGTTCACAAGTCCATAGGGTTATTCTACAAGGTTCTTATTTCCACATATTTGTAGGGAAGAGTGAAAATTCAAAAGAAAATTTAATGATTAATGCTTCTGAGAGAGATTTTCTTTGGTTGTTAATGGTCAATGTAAGATGGAAATAATTAGGCCTTTGTTTCCTTGTAAATTAGGATGATTGTCCTTACTTGATAACTGGCATGCATAGGCTACTATACTATTAAATACTTGAAAATACATGTCTGACTCTTTTTTTGTGTTAAATGCAACACTAGTTTTTAGATATGTTTCTGCTATTTTCTTGGGATGACCGGAAAAGCTAATTCGATATTTTACAACTAGCTTAAGCGTTGGATTTTTGTTCCAACTGGAAACTTTATTATTCCAACTAACCCTCTTAGTGTTTACCTTATAATAGTATTATTATAGAAAAATTCATATAAGAAATCTATATAAGTTAAAATTTCCTTCTTGACAAATTCACCACGGATGAACATCTTATGGAAAATTGAGTTTCAGCTGAAAACACAAGTGAAATTACTCCGTTTTCGGGCTTTATTGCTGGTCTATTATTTGGCATTTTTCCTAGATGACATAGAAGCTCAGAGATTTTTGCTTTGCAAATTGCAATAGTCTTTAAGTATTTGCTTATCTGGTTAAAGTCTGGAAAACTGTTGTGTTTTTGCTTTACCATATGACTTTTCCCACGTAAAGACCTGGGAAAAAGGCATGTTTTGGCTTCTCGTAATGATAGAGGAAACTAATTTGGATAGAGTAATTTATTATCTTTGTGGATCACACATATATTCCTCCGTTCCATAATAGTTGTCCACTTTCCCCTTTACACGCCCCTTAATAAATCATAAATAAGAAAGGTATTTTTACTAATTTACCCTTTACTCTTTTTAATACTATGTGTCTTATCTATCAATACCAAGATTAATAATGGAGGAACTTTTTTGGAGCTTTACAATTTATACTTTCAAAAGGAATTAATTTTAAAGGCAAAAATGGAATTGTTTAATTAATTATATCTTGGTTTTGTAATTTGACAAGTAATTTGGGACCGATATATTTAGTAATATGAACAAGTAATATGGGACGGAGGGAGTAGTAATTTGAGAACATACTAAGTGAATATTATGGTTTTGCCAGTTTTTACTTCTTTTTGGCAACATTTTTGATGAATTGTTTGTTCTACTTTCAGCTGCAATACAATGTTTGAAAAGAAAAAGGCTCTATGAACAGCAAGTCGAACAGCTTGGAAATTTCCAATTGCGTATCCATGATCAGGTGCTCTTGTGTTCTGCTAGATCTCATAATCTTATACACATATTTCGTGTCATAATATCACAATATAAGCATAGGCGTTTTGTTGGATTTGGGTTTCAGATGATACTGCTAGAAGGTGCAAAAGCCACAACAGAAACCGTTGATGCTCTTAGAACTGGAGCAGCTGCAATGAAAGCCATGCAGAAGGCAACGTAAGTTGTATATGCACTATGTTGCTGCAGTATCTTTAATTCGCTGTTGTTTAGTATAGCTACATAGTGTTTGCCCTGAAAGACTTCCTAGTCCAGAACACAAAATGGTCAAATGATATATAAGAGGTCTCCAATCCAATCCTTTGCCCGATACTGGCTATCGTATCAAGGCATCATATTTCCTTGTAGTCTTCTTTGTGCATCACATTTGAAAGATGCATTCTGTCACAATCGAGTAAGTTTAGAGGCTTGAACCATAATCGTAACGGATGGGATGCCACTTGAATATCGTGGCTTAAATCTGTAATACTAACTTCTAGTTATTAGTAGTAGAGGTACAATCAAGCTTTCTACACAAAAGCATGATTACAGTTTCGTGAATCAGTTGCATCTATGCAGTGTTGTTCTCTGTGTTATCCAGATTTCTTCATTGCATCAAGGTCAAACTCAAATATATGCTAGAAATTAAGTTCTTCTTTTTGTTATGGTTGGGTGTCTTTTGTTAAATGGAGTTCTCTTGCCTGATATTATCTAGTTTTTCTGTTCAGGAATATTGACGATGTTGACAAAACAATGGATGAAATCAATGAGCAGACTGAGAACATGAAAATGATTCAGGAAGCGTTATCTACACCAATTGGTGCAGCTGCTGATTTTGATGAAGTATGTACTTGGACAATTCTTTGTTTTTTTAATACCTCCTCTCTGCGTCTGGACAATAATTCGTATCAATTTTTTGTAGGATGAGTTAGAGGCAGAACTTGAAGAACTGGAAGGAGCTGAGTTGGAGGAACAACTCCTTCAGCCTGCTACTACTGCCCCTTCTGCACCTATTCATCTGCCTGCTGGTAGGCAACAAGTGCGTCCTGCTGCCCAGCACAGCAGAACGGAAGAAGATGAACTTGCTGCTTTGCAGGCTGAAATGGCTCTTTGACGAGGTCATTTTCTTGTTCTCTATTTCTTGTGATTACTGCTAAGTATCTGAGACTATGAACACTACCAGTGCTATTTTCGTTGGGTCAATTATAATTTATAAATGAAACATGCTATACTTATCTAGTTTTGCAATTGTTTGAAGGAAAGAATGTTTCATGTAAAACCTAGTGTAAGATGACGTTGTGCATTACAAACCTGTTTACAAGTTGTAGGTTAAACAGATTAAATGAAAACCTCTAATTCATGTTCTCCCACTTTCACATCCCCTGATTTTCGCTCAGAAGTTAATCAAGTGGTGCCTAGACATGGAATGAGTACAGTTAAAACCATCAGATACGTTCTTGTTTGCTTGTTATTTAGCTAGCTTGCTTCCTTCCCTTCCCTCGGTTCTTCCTCAACACTTGGAAACACTACTAACGGGAAGGGAAAAGGGACCTTGACGGCCACCTTAAGGGAATGTAGACTAAAAAGAACTGAGAAAAGATCTCATGTTCCCAATGGATTTGATTTTCATGAAGCAGCTGAAATCGTGTTGTTTCAACTGATACGTACTTGTCTGGTTGTTTTTGAAGTTTCTGACTGTTTCATTTGGTGTTTTGCAGTGATAATCGCCGAATAAAGAATGCTGTAAAGATCAAAAGTACTCTTTGTGGTGGATGATTTTTGAATTCTTGCAATGCAGCCTTAGCTTTACAAGTATAACTGTATAGATTACAGGAGTTGATTTAATATTTTATGTCAAAGTTGAAATGGGAAGAGTTTTGCTACTTTTACATGAAATTTCATTCTTGAAATTGTACAAAGTATCTCTTCTATCAACATTAAAGTACATTTTTTTGTGATCCAACTTGAAGCTGAAAGTACATTCCTATAACTTTTTTGGTGGTGTTTAAATTAGTTCATTCACATCTCGACTATTTGGTATCTGTTATTTTCCACCAGCACATGTATCAAGTAACTTGCTTATTAAGATTTAGGCGATGAAAAGATATAATATGTGCCATTGTATAAACTGAGATAACACTTTGATTAATTCATCGGGTATCTAATTACCTTTCATTGACACAAATATATTTATGATTTTTCTACTTTTAATTCTTATACGGAGAGCTTTCTAAATTGGAATAGCATTGAAGATTCAATTTATTAAAACGGTCAGTTGAAATACTCAAATTGTTCTCACTGATTAAAAAAAATTGAGATTATCTTTTTTCTACTATTCGTCTTGTCTTTTTTTTTTTTTTTAATTTCCCACCCGATGTCTAATATCTACATTGGAGTCTGACTAAATCTGAATTCACGCCGGAAAGTCTCACTTAAATAAGACTGACGTATCAATATGTGAGTCCCACACATGTTATACACAAATCAATGTATTTCACTATAACTAATGGTGGAAACCTTATCATTATTAATTATTTGGACCAAATCAACGTATTCCACCACAACCAAGTAATTAATAAATGAGGTAAGAATGTACATTAGTTAACCATAATGAAAAAGATAAACATGCATATAATACAAATGATTAAATTAAATTGATATGAACATAAATGCAAGTAAAATTTTTATAGTTAGAAAAGTGGGGTCATCTGATAGGAACAAATGATCTCGGAATTAATTATTTCAAAATAAATAATTTCGAGATAAGTTATTCTCGTATATATATGAGATAACTTATCTCAACACTAAGATATAAATTGTGAGATAATTTATCTTAAGAGGACATTATACTTTATATCTCACACCAAAGATGAACCTTTGGATATCAACACTCAAATCAATGAACAAAAAATACATGTAATTATTGCCTCTTTTTTTTCATTCTCTTCCCAATTAGACTTTTTATTTTATTTTATTTCTCAATCGATATTAAATGTTGGTTTAAGATTAAATTATCTAAATTCGCATTGAAAAAATTACTTTGAGAGATAAAACATTTTATTTTATCAAAAGACAATTCTATATCCACAACATGTCTCTATATAAGGCTTGAATTTAAAATTCTATTTGAGAACGGTAGAGTACTTACTACTCAAACCTTGAATATGAAAAAAAAAACTTTATTTGAAGCGTCATCCCAAGAATGAATCTTGCTGTGCGCATTCAAATTTAATCAAAGCTCTAATGCTGATATCAAATATCAATAGAAAACAAAAAAAGGAACATACTTACTATTCTCTTCAGTCTAAATGTAAAACGTTTTCTAACAAAAATAATGTATATTTAAAAAAAAAGTATTTATCATTCCATGGTGATCGTCCGAATATAATAATTATAGTGTACTTGAATTATTAGTTTATTCTGCACCAAACACTGAAAAACAGAGGAAATTTTTTGAAAAGGACCATTCCCCAATTCACATTAAAAGAAAACAGAGTCATCACAGTAGGCGGCAGCTTTAAATCAACGCAACTTCTAGAAAAACTCATCAATTTATCTCCATTTTTTCACAGATCTTGAACCAAACTTAGCAGCAGGGAAGTAGAAGAAGAAGATGTCGTGGCAAACGTATGTTGATGATCATTTGATGTGTGAGATTGAAGGTAATTATCTCACTTCTGCTGCTATCATCGGCCATGATGGTTCCGTTTGGGCTCAATCTGCTAATTTTCCTCAGGTTTTACTTCATACCCACTTCTTATTTTGGTTTAATTTTACTTGGGTTTACTTCTTTTTACTTGCTTTAGTTTGGTCAAAATTCAGAATTTTGAAGTCGATATGTATCCCTAGAGGTGGAGATAGTATTTTTAGTTTATGGGTCTTGAATCACTATCTGTTTTGCTTACTGGGTTGTTGATAAGTAACTATAAATACAGGGATTGAGCCAAAACTACTGGGTCTGCTGAATCGTAGCTTTAACTACACCTATTACTCCTTCTGTTCGAATTTAAGTGTCTTAATTTGACTGAGCACAAAGGTTAAGAAATAAAGGTAAAACTTTTGAATCTTTGTGGTCGTAAATTAGAGATGCCTAAGAGATACTCTTTTTTGGACAAACCAAAAACGGAAGTAAGACATTTAAATTGGGACGGAGGGAGTACTTCTTTTTAGATAGTTGCAAATTTAGTAGGCGTTTGGGCATGAATATTGAGTGATATTTGAAGTTGAAGTTGAAAAATGGTATTTGGAAGTTAGAGTTACGTTTGGACATGCATTTCACTTATAAAAGAAGTTTTAAGTTTAGTTAGTAGGAAAAGATTTTAAGTGAAATTTATCTTAAAAAACTAATCAAAGGACTATTCTAATGTATAACCAAACAATGTTTTGAAAATAGTTTTTTGACAAAAAGGAAAAAGGATAAATGTAAATAATTAAGAATTGTTTCGTTATGTATAGAATTCAAACAGAAGGTACTGGGTGTATTAGCATCCGCTATTACAAATCTTGAATCTTTCTATGTAATTGGTCAAAGGTTTAATTTTTTCTAAAGCAAGTTCGATTTTTTTCCTTCCATTGAGGCAATGACCTGCTCATAGAATTCCCTAGCTCTTATGGGGACCTTAGTCACTAATCCAAATAGTCAAGGTCAGTCCTTGAGAGCGTCCCCAACAGGCTGCTCAGTTGATGCAGTTTGCTGTCAGCGTGTACAGGAAGAGTACTGGTAGATGTTCCACATTGGTTCCTGCAATGACTTGGTAGAAGCTGATATCTTCATCTAATGACAGTACTAGAAGTTGATATCTCCCCGTATGACCTGTCTTTATGCAAAACTAATATTTTTGCCACAGTCAATAAATAGGAAAACTACTGATTCAGCATGAGTTGGCAATCGAATTGTTGTATACACTTGAAGAAAAAGACCTGAATATTGTTAATTCTTAAGCTTTTCATTTGTACTTGTGTTTAAATTGCATGTTAAAAATTGGATTTGTAATAATGAATTTGATAGTTTGGTGTATCTATAAGGGAGACTTTTGGTGTTAATATTTTTTTTCATGGTTCATATTAACTTAATAAATTTCTTCATTTACTAAACTACCCAATGCCATTCCTGTGGGCGAAGGCTTGTTGGAAGCGATGTAGAGTTGCACCGACAAGAAACTAACTTGGTGAGTTTGTCAATAATGGTGTTCTTTTTTTGGCAGTTTAAACCAGAAGAAATAACAGCCATAATGAATGACTTTGCCGAACCTGGAACACTTGCTCCAACTGGTTTATATCTTGGGGGAACAAAGTATATGGTGATTCAAGGGGAGGCAGGAGCTGTTATACGAGGCAAGAAGGTACGAGACCCTGGTTTCCTACTATTGCATTGAAAGTAGTCTTCTTGTGAACTAGTGAGTACCTTTAATCTAAACAAGGCATAAGTCTCAGGTTTGAACTCCGAGAATAAAAAAAAATTCTTATCCTTGTCCAAAAAAAAAATGAAAAAAAAAAGAGAACAGGAAAGTGTCATAAACTCTCACTTGAACCTTTCAAGATGCTCAACTTTTGCGGCAGTTTATGCTAATGTTCAGTTTTTATATGCAAATGTTTTTGGTACAAAAGCTCTTTTTTTTTCTTTTTATTATTGCCTCTCTCCATAAGATGATCCATTTGTTTCAACTTAGATCTGTGAAGACCAATTCGAATAAATATTGTTGAATTGTGTGGCCATCTTATTAAGCAGCTAGAGAGCAAACTTTTATTTACATAATTATGTCTCAGCACACCCCTCATGTGTGAGTCTGATCCTTTTCATAGCTCAAACAGGTGGAAAGTCTTCTCGTTCATGAGTGACAGCATTTGAACTCACTACCTCTGCCGGTGTGGATACCATGTTGGAATTGTGTGACCATCTAATATAAAGTGAATTGTTAGATAACACACTTTTGTTTTCTTAATTATTTCTGAACAAAGACCATTGAAGTGTGGATCTTCTCTGCTGACATTTTCCCTGCTGTAATCCATTAAAGTAGATTACACAATGCTTACACGAGATACTGGAAACTAGCTCAGATTATGTGATGAAGCCCCCTCATGGCAACACTTGACCTTCTATAATTTGTCATCCTAACTAGGTCCTGCGTATTTTCAGGGTGCTGGTGGTATCACCATTAAGAAGACTAACCAGGCTTTGATCATTGGAATATATGACGAGCCGATGACTCCTGGCCAGTGTAATATGATTGTTGAAAGGCTGGGTGACTATCTCATTGAACAGGGTCTCTAGTCATGTTGGTAAGTTGATCTCTTAACCTCCTTTTCACCCTTGGTATCCTTTGTGAAGCATTAACCCAAGTAGTGGTCCATCCAATCGCTTAAACTAAAAATAATCGGTGGATGTATAATATGAATCTAGCCATGTATTATCTATGTATACCATCTCAGCAAAGTAAATAGTGAATCCGAGCAGCTATTCTCTCTTTATACGTTAGCTTTATTTCTTTGGGGTTTTTTACCAAGCTTATACTAAGTTAATTTTTTTTTGCAGTGTATTAATATCCTACATAATTGAGGCCATGAAGAAGTGTGTTGTGCTCTGTAAGGGGGAGAATTGCAATCTCTTGTGTGTATCAACTATGTTGTCATTGTAACATTTTTCTTTGTGTTTCCTTGTGAGCTTGTCATTGACCTATTGGTTGGTTATATATAATGGAATGTGCTTATATTTGGATATTTGAGCTTTGGTTAAGATGGATATCTTTTAGTTTTGGCTTAAAATAGATCAACATTTTTGGTATGTGTAATCTAACATGGATACACAGTATAACCTACGAGCTCAACCAAATCCAGTAGTTTTGGGTTTGTATTGGTTTGTAAGTGTTAAGAATCTACTAAATGTATACAAATATGAATATACAAACGTCAATGGATTCAATGATATTTTGAATTCATAAAGTTCAAATCTTAAATACTCTTGCTCCTTTTCTTAAATGGGCAAAAAATGGAAGCTTTTGGCAAAATAAAAACTTACCTCTAGTGGAATTGTAGCATACAAAACTTCCAAAGTTTGAATGAAATCACATGATGTGTTAATTTGAATTAATATAGTAAAGTAATTTAATATAAAGTGAGAATGTACATTAATTAATCATATGATTAAGTGATAGTTTTATATTCAAATACAATCATATATTTATTGATTCAATGTATAGATTCATGCAAATAAATTTTTACTATCAACTTTTGCTAAGAAAATGATCAAAATGGTCCTTAATGTATATGTGTTGCTTTATTTTGGTCCTTAATGTATCATGATTGAAATGGTCCTTAATTTGTTACATAAAGTGTTCACTTTAGTCTTTTACCCTAAATCTAACCAAAATTACAAAAGGTGTTATTAAACCGGTTGCTAACAAAATATAATAATGTTATTTTCTTTGCAAGCTCCAAAAAAGAGCTCCATGATTATCATCATTTTTTCTAACAAAAAATAAATTATTTTCTCTCTTAAAATATTATTTTATCTCTCGATTTCTAAATATTGTTCTCAATTCTCATTTATGCATATTAAAATTCATGTTTATATATGATGTAGCTTTGTGGAAAATCACTTAGCTAAGCTTTGGGTGTCTTATCTTATTGGAGATTTTATGGTATTTTCTGTTTACTAATTCGACCGTAAAATTTTGATTTTTTTAATATGTTTTTTATGATAAAAAATTGTTCCGTCATTTTGATTCACTGAAGTAAGCAATTTTTACATTATCATTAACAATTAAGGAAGCTTTCGCATTAAATTCCGTCAAGTTGTTGTTTTAGGCTCATTTAGATCTTAATTTAAGCTTGAACAAACTATCGACAATAACACCAGAAGGAGTATAATTTAACAGCTAAAAACTGCTTTGGAGTTAAAATAATATTTATGAAAAGAGAAAATAATTAATTTTGTTAGAGAAAGTAGAGAAAATGGTGATGTCTATGGAGCTATTTCTTTAGAGCTAACAAAGAAGATAACAATGGTATAGTTTGTTAGCTACATGTGGGACCCACCGTTAAAAATAACACTTTCTTTTGATATCTTTGTTAGATTTAGGGTGAAAGACTAAAATAAACATTTTTTTGTAATACATTAAGGACGATTTCAATTTGTGTGATATATTAAGGACCAAAATAAAGCAACACATGTACATTAAGGACCATTTTGATAATTTTCTCAATTTTTGCTCGTGATAAAATTCGCAACAACAATAAGTTCATGACATTTTAGTTTTTGGGAAATCACATTAATCATAGCTAGAGATACAAAACAAACAAACAAACAGGGTAGTAGAATAATAATTTGCTGGACATAAATGAATACATAATATATGGGATGTTAAATAAATATACACTATTATTGTTTGATATTCACTTTGAAACTCAACTAATTCAGATTCACATTATGAAGTCACCCATGAGAAAATGTTTCATAGTAGTCTCATTAGACCGTACATCTCTTTTGGTATATTCAGTCTCCAGATAATATAAGGGCTTAAACTGAAATATTATAGGATATACAAAAATGGTTATTTAATTATTAGCACCTCATAAAAAAATTTCCCTTAGAGTGGCTATTAATATGAAAAAGAAAAACTATGTTATAGCTATTTCTGTATTCATAGAGTTGAATATAGTAAAATAAGAAATTGAAAGATTTCGTTTAAATTACCCGTTAGGCAATTTTCTAAAAAGCTAATAATAAGTTCTTGTCTCTATCGCAATAATACTCATGTTTACTATCAAAGACTATTTTATCCTCAATACTCGAACATAAAACAATGGTGAACTCCACCATAATCCTTCAAAATGAAGCAAATATTGATTATAGGCTTGTGAATCTAAATTGATTATAAATAATTAATAAACAAAACCATCATAAAGGAAAACCATTTTAAAAATAATTTGATTAATAAAACTTTTTTTTTTGATAAATAAAACTAAAAAGTAGAAAAAAAGTCAAATTAGTTTCAATTAATTGATCTTTTTGCCCCCTATATATATATATATATGAAAGACCGAGAAAGAGTAAAGCAGCGACTCCAGTCCAAAACGGTTCTACGGCGGCATTTACTCTCTTTCTCCCGCCACAATCGCCGCTACATCTCATTCCGATCCTCCGCGTAACGACGGCAAGTTCTTCATCTGCGCCGTACTAAGGTGAATGTGCAACAGTTTTCTGATCGATTCGTTTTCTCCACTCACATTTGCCGCTTTTCTCCTGAATTCTATTCGCTTTATCATATTATTACACACTTGAAGCTGTACATTTCTTCTATCTGTATGTGTAATTGTTTCTGTTTTCGCTGTAGATTACTAGAACTAGATGTGTTATTTATGCTTTAATTTGTATTTTTCGCTCTAGTTTACTAGATTTGGATGTTGTTTTGATGAGTAGTGTAGCACTCAATTTGTTCTGAAGTTCATAATAGGCACTCATATAGCTATTGATATTTTTTTTCTTTGAATTTTCGGTGTATATTAGTACTATAAATGTAGCTGTACATTATGTTTTTTGTTTCTATTTTCGCTGTAGATTACTAGATTTGAGGCTGTGATTGATCTTCTCTGTTACTCGTTTTAGTGATGGAATAATGTAGTACTCAATTTTCATAATATGCACTCATAAAGCTATTGATATTTTTTTCTTTGAATTTTCGGTGTATATTAGTACTATATATGTTGCTGTACATTGTGTTTTTTGTTTTTATTTTCGCTGTAGATTACTAGATTTGAGGCTGTGATTGATCTTCTTTGTTACTTGTTTTGGTGATGGAGTAATGTAGCACTCAGTTTCTTCTGAAGTTCATAATACACATTCATATAGCTATTGTTATTTTCTTCTTCACAATTTTCGGTGTATATTACTTCTATATATGTAGCTGTATAGTATGTTTTTTGTTTTTATTTTCGCTGTCGATTACTAGATTTGAGGCTGTGAATGATCTTCTCTGTTACTCATTTTAGTGATGGAATAATGTAGCACTCAATTTCTTTTGAAGTTCATAATATGCACTCATATAGCTGTTGATATTTTTTTTCTTTGAATTTTCAGTGTATATTATGACTATTTATGTAGCTGTACATTATGTTTTTGTTTTTATTTTTGCTGTAGATTACTAGATTTGAGGCTGTGATTGATCTTCTCTGGTACTCGTTTTGGTCATGGAATAATGTAGCACTGAATTTTTTCTGAAGTTCATGACACACATATGGTTATTGATATTTTTTGTTCATCTTTTCCCTGTATAATATTAGATATGTAGCTGTAAATATCTTTTGTGTGTGTGCGTGTGTGTAATTATTTATCTTTTTGTTTCTGTTCTTTGGTGTAGATTACTAGATTTGGATGTGGTTGGTCTTCTCTATTCCTTGTTTTGGTGATGGAATAGTGTAGCATTCCATTTCTTCTGAACTTCCTGATATGCATACACATAGTTATTGATACTTTTTCCTCACCTGTTCGCTATATATTTCTAGAGATGTAGCTTTGATTGGTTTGTAAGCTCAGTGTTGTGGTGATGGAATAATGCAGCGCTTCATTTCTTCTGAAGTATGTCTATGGTTGTATTCATTTGCTGAAGTTTAGGTCAAGATTTGTTGCCTTTTAATGCTAATTTTTGAACGCTTTGAGTATTTTCTGGATTTGTTGTTTATGTTGATTCCTTTGTTACTGAATTTTGGTGTTGTTAGAGCTGATAGCATGTTGGTTAATCGGAGATCTCTGCTTTGATTTCTTATGTGTATTACTGTGGTTTTGGTTTTGTAAACTTAGTGATGTGAGCTTTGAAAAGAATAGCTTAGGTCCAAAGTCCATTTCACATGGACCTTGGGCCATTTACCTTGCTCACGCTTACATTGACATGAAAATATGGCTATGTTTCTAGTCAGTAGAGTGTACACTATCTTTTGGATAATTTTTTCTTGTTAAGCTGGACAATAGTATTTTATTTATTACCTCTTTTATGACTGAGTTTCTTATCTATTTATCTTGCTTCTCTTTTCAGGGAGTTCGTCTATATTGACCTAGATGGACCAGGTAACAGAGTAGTCCTCTGTATCTTTGTCACTCCTTATGTACTCTATGCTTCTTTGGATTGTAACATTTGGGGTACTTGCAGTATGAAAAAATTGGGAAGATTGGGGAAGGAACATATGGTGTAGTGTACAAGGCCCTTGTTCGTGCAACTAAGGAAATCGTTGCTCTAAAAAAAATACGGCTGGAGCAAGAAGATGAGGGAGTGCCTAGCACAGCTATAAGAGAAATTTCTCTTTTAAAAGAGATGCAGCACGGAAACATTGTGAGGTAAAATATGGTCTTTATTGTTTATTTATAACCGATATGAACTATATGATTGTGATTGCAAGCAAAGCGTAACTTAAGCTGTATTTTTCTTTCCTGTGATTATAATATCAATGTGATGCAACTTGCAAGTTATAACGGAAACCTAATGCACGTGTCTACTTGCCCTCCATATCAGTTAATTCACGTTTGCTGTTTTAGAGTAGTAATGTTATTTGAACTACACTGGGTATTTATCCAGTTTTTACCCCCTTCCTTCACTTTGTTAGTATTTTTCTGTTTTGAACTTCGATCTTCTAGAAATACTTCTATCAGTCTTTTTAGGGTAATCTTTGCCTTTACAGAGAAGGTGAGCAGCATGATCTAGTCTTAGATTATCACTTGAATCATGTGTTGGAGATCTTAATGGAATGTACAGGGTTCTTACTTAGAAAACTTTGATTGTCTGTTTATGTGATTATTAGTGTATGTGGGTTACAAAACTGCTATTTTCTTATGTTTTAATTTTATTGTTTTCTTACAGCAGATAGTGAGGAAGGGAAAAGCATATAGTTTCACTTAGATTTTTGACAAGCAAAAGCTTATTTAACATTATCGTTTGTATTTAGAAGTTAAGCATCAATGCAACACGACATTGTGCCGTTCAACGAACTTGGATTGTCTAGTGACAATTAATTTCAGCCAAGGCAGTTATAGAGGAGCCTATTAGTCATTTTCTATATGCTGATCATTTAGTGGAATATATAAGTTCCGCTTAAAAAGTTCTTGATTTTACCGGTAATTGTGACAAGAAGAATACAGAGAAGAGGATGGCGACGAAGGTCGTACAGTACTATGCCTTTTTTTTTTGTATTTCTTTATAAGAAATCCCCGATGATCATGATAACTATAGAAGGGTTATAAACTCATTATTTATAGCCACAAAACCACTTGCTCCTTGCTCCTTGCTTGTTTTGGAACCATCTATGTCAATAACAAAATTGTTGTGGGAAAGAAATATTTATAAGACATAAAAAGTTATCCAGAAATATGCATGAAAAGTCACATGTTTGAAAAAAAACAGACATGCCGATATATCATTTAAAGTTAGGATGCATGCATAAAAATATTGCAAAGAAATTAATTTTCTTTGACAGTTCTTAAAATTTAAAAGAAAGCATCTTTACAGTTTCAAGAAATTAAAGAACCTGATGTATAATGATCACGTTGGTTTTGAATTAAATTCTAGCAGATGTTAGTACTTACGTTGATACATATAGGAAGCTCAAAAGGTGATATACAAGTTCTAAAAAAGCTTTCGTAGAGACTTTATAACTCATTAATAAATTATTCACGTTGATACAGTCTTTCTTTAATACAATAATTGTATTTACTTTTTATTTAATTAATTAGATATTTTTAACATTTTGATTTAGTGTAGGGGTAAAATGGTAATCAAGTTTTCACTTTGGAGCTTTCCACTTGTAGTATTACTAGAATCTGGGTGTGTACTCCATAACAATGAGTATGAACTAGTAAAAAGTCACATAATTTTTAAAAAAAATTGTATTTGAGTTACAATTAGTGATCAATCTATCAAGTTGAATGACTTTTGACATAGTTATAACACGCTTGGTGTGAATGGCAGAAAGGTTAGTATTTTCAAAGATAACCACCAAGTAGATCTTAACAACCTTTTAAAGAGTCAACATTGCTATAGATGATCAGATATTCATATATTTGGACTTACATTCGGTTATTGCTACGAGTCACCTCTGTAAAGAACTTCTTCTTCTTCTCTCTTGTTTATTATTGTGAATGCATGGTGCTCTAAATTCACAAGAAGAAAAAGAACATAAGCTAAGAAAATAAAGTGCTAATTAGTCTATCAGAAATTACACATGCTTCTCTTTCGTCTTCTTCTTCAAGGGACCAAAAGCCTCTTTTGTGATCCATCTTGATGACGAATTCCACGATAACAAGAAATCGATAAGAAAAAAATGGATCTCTTTCAACTTATTACTGGCCGTTGTAAGAATGGTGCCCCACCATTAATTTCTCTTTTATGTTTTACCATCTCTTGTTTATAGAGAATTATTTATAGATTGTTAGAGAGATAATTTTCTGGGCAGTTGAAACTTTTCATCACCCACATTTACAATAGTTCTTCATTTAACGTTGTTCTCTTAAAAATCATTTGTTGAAATTAAATGAATAGTTACAGGATACATATTCAAGAAGATAAAATGTTGATATTAATTAGTAGAAGATGAAAATCTCCTTCTCATTAAGTAGAATGCAATTAAGTAATTCAAATTTATAACTAAGGAAACTTAATTATGATGTCATAACTAAAGAATTAAAGTGCAATTGTTGGTATTTAAATTTTGCCATTATATAATTAAATACCAAGGAAGATAGAAATATTCTAAGACAATTTTTACATGCTTTGTCTTGATAATGCAAATTGAAACAAAGCTATAGTAATAAACACTCAACCTTTGATCATAAAAGAAGAGTTAAAAATCCTGTAAGTCAAGCTCAACCTTTGACCATAAAAAAAAGAGTTAAAAAATCCCGAAAGACAATTTAACAAAAGTGACATTGATTCAACTATATAAATGGAGGGGTCTCATCATAGTTCCGATCTTTGCGAATAAGTAAAAAACAAATAGTTCAAAATTCTAGTAATTGAAGTGTTATCTATCCCTATAATCACATCAATAGACCTTATAATTTTCACACAAATCCTCTTGTCTTGAAATTTTCTTCAAAGTTGAAAGGTCAAGTATTACAATAATTAAGGAAAAAGGGACAAATATACCCCCGAACTATCATAAATGGTATGCAGATACCCTCCGTCTTTTTTTTGGGACATTGATGCCCTTGTCGTTCAAAAACTAGAGCATATATACCCTTTATACTAACGGATATACACGTGTCATAATCTTATCCACCGACCGACATTTATTAAATATCGGATCGACAGATAAGATTGCGCCACGTGTCCCTATTTAGTCTTTCGTTAAAGTAAAGGGCATATATGCTCTAGTTTTTGGACGGCAGGGGCACCAATGTCCCAAAAGTATAACAGAGGGTATCAGCATACCATTTACGATAGTTCGGGAGTATATTTGTCCTTTTTCCCATAAATTAAAGACAAAAAGATTAAATATGAACATTAATTTTGGAAGATGAAACATGTACATGTATCTATCTAAAGGGGTAATTATTTTTTTAAATTTTTTCTATTAATTACTCACATGTAAGATTTGGGTCTTTTAATTGACTTAGGATATTTTAGAGGGAATCGGGTGGGTATGGGTTTATGGGGCGGGTTGTTAGTTTATGGGTTAAAAACAATGGTCAAACGGGTAGTTGATTAGGATTAAGACACGTGGACAAGATGAGGGGACCATTAGTGAGAGGGGCATGTGTGTACCGATAATTGGACGGCAGGGACTGAGATGGACCCAAAGTATAACGGAGGGCATAGACGTACCATTTATCAAAGTTCGGAGGTAAATTCGTCCTTTTTCCCTAAATTTTTTAATAACATTTGGATTTAGTATAAGGGTAAAATGGTAATCCAACTTTGCACTTTAGAGCTTCCCACTTTTGATATATATATATACATATATATGAGATATGTGTGAGTGAGCCGGGGTGTAATGTTGTAGGTATGAACTTCTGTCCACCTTGGGAATTTCAATTTTGTGTAATTACGACTCTAAATGGAAGGGGGACCAAAAGGGGGGGGGGGATACTATGAATGCTGTGGATGATTGTGTTGTGTTCATTTCTGGAGCATCATTCTTGCCATTTCTGATTGAATTAGGAGTTAGAAACTAAAGAAGAGATGCAAGCATGTATATAACAGTAATTTGGGTTGCAGTACTAAGTTTTTCTTTTTAATGTTGGAAAAGCTATTTTGAAGTTAACTTCTCTAATAGCGAAAAAAAGTTCCTATTATTTGGAAACAGGTTGCTGGATGTGGTTCACAGTGAGAAGCGATTATATCTAGTCTTTGAATATCTTGACTTGGATTTGAAGAAGCACATGGATTCATGTCCTGAATTTTCTAAGGATACCGGTGTTGTAAAAGTGAGTAAGATTAAGATCTATATTCCATTGGAGGTTGCAATTATTGTTATATTTAGCTGCCTCATCTGTTGCATTACTTCTTTATGAAGTTTGCCATGCCTCTGTTTAGCAGTCTTAGTTGAAGAGGAAGGCGATGCACCCTTACACAGTAGTTAAAATATATGATTATCAGAGAATGTAATGTGAGAAAGTATCACCACCTAATAGTAAAAAGTTGTCGGGTTGAGAGGTTTCTTGTTCTTGGTTAATGAAGAAATATCTTCAATTTTGCAGTCGTTTGTGTATCAAATGCTCCGTGGTATTGCTTATTGTCATTCTCGTAGAGTTCTCCACCGAGATCTAAAGCCTCAGAATTTGCTGATAGATCCACGCACCAATGTGTTAAAGCTTGCAGATTTTGGATTGGGTAGAGCATTTGGTATTCCTGTTAGAACTTTTACTCATGAGGTATGTACATGGTTTCAGCTCTATGAAACAAAATTACCAAACCAGCCTGTATTACCATTGTCTCATGTTGTTCCATTTCAAACTCGACCAGAAAGTAGTTACTATGAGCAGAAACTGTTGTCACTTCTGATGCCTCTCTTTAATATCTGGCATCCTGTCTAAATGAACAACCTTTTTCCTGCTTAAGTTTTTTTGTTTGACTGAAAAATAAAATGATTGGATTATCATGTCCGAGTCTCATTGATTTTAAAAACAGATACTCTGTTCATTTATGTTTTCTAGCATATCGTCAACCCTTTTGAGCTTGTTTCTTTTGACTTCCAACAGTAGACTTCATTGTTTCAGGTAGTGACATTATGGTACAGGGCACCAGAAATACTGCTTGGATCAAGGCACTACTCTACTCCGGTTGATGTGTGGTCAGCTGGTTGCATATTTGCCGAGATGGTTAACCAGCAACCCCTTTTTCCTGGTGACTCAGAGATTGATGAACTTTTCAACATTTTCAGGTGTTAACATGCATTGCCAGTCCTTTAGTGAATGCTTTGTTACTTCAAAAAGTGAACATACTCACTATTTATTTTTACTTTTTGTAGGAAGTAATTTTATTATCTCCTTATGCCCTGTCCTCCTTGTCGATCATTCCAATTCCATTTGAAAGAAAGCCATTTTTATTGAATGGTTGTTCATGGATGGGTTGAGTGGCCGATGTTATGACACAGACCAAAATTAGAATAAAAAAAGAGGTTTCGGAGCGATTGGATAACTGAAATAGAAGAGCATAAACGTTAAAGGCTTGTCAGTTCTGAATTCTTCATGCTGAAAGACATACTAGTCAATCAATTACTAATATTTATAATCAACTCTCTCTCTATGGGGTGGTTAGGTTGTGAGAAGGTTTAAAGATTGAGTTTGTAGTACAGTTTATGACTCTTTGCCTCTCTGTTATTAAATCTTTTCCTTATTCATGTCATGATTCCCTACTATTTCTGTATGAAGAGTGGTGGGTACTCCAAATGAGGATACATGGCCTGGAGTGACTTCTTTGCCTGATTATAAATCTACATTTCCAAAATGGCCTCCTAAGGTAATCTAGAGTTTAATTATTTCTCTCCTTTTTTTCACCTTTGGGACAAGTCTGATTCTACTGCCAATATTATCGCATTTCTAAAGAATGCTGAATTCAAGTCCTTCACATTGCAGGATCTGGCAACTGTAGTCCCGAATCTTGATACAGCAGGATTTGATCTCCTTGGTGTAAGTTTGCTTTTCTAAATGATATATACATCTTGTGAGTAATAAAGTTTTCTTGTATTCTGAATGAAACTCCAACCTTTTTGCCTGGTTTTCTCTGAGAAAATCTGGTGAAATAGTTATAGGTACTCACAGCTAGAATAATTATAACTATTCTGAATGACGTTTGTGACATTGGTAGGGAAAAGAGATTTGAGTAAATAAATGTTCTCAAGGGAAAGGGAAGTTCCAAATTGCAGTGCTCATTCCTTTATCAAAAATTAAAATAAAAATTGCAGTGCTCATTCATATTCTTGTTTCAGTCACTTTAGCCTAGGTCTTTTTGTTCCCTTCTTCTCTTTGTATTTATTATATTTGGATATCACCTATTGGGGGCTAGGACTGTTTGGTTGCAGTTGCTTATATGCAAATCATTGTGTTTTCTGTTTAGCAGATTATATGAAAGATTTAGTGCCTTTCTGCTTAATATGTGCACAACAAATAGGTGTTTAATACAATTATAAGCATAGGGGTTTCAATCTTGTCTTAAAATCCATGGCCTCATTACTTTCAGAAAATGCTCTGCTTGGACCCCAGCAAGAGAATCACTGCCAGGAGTGCCCTTGAACATGAGTATTTCAAGGATATTGGCCGTGTTCCATGACTCTTTGCATCTTCATCAACAATGTGAACACAAATTTGGTATTTTAACTACTGGGTGATCTTAACACAGCGTTCATAGATATCTCTTGTTCCAGCTTCTCCATCACAATATGTGTTAATAGTTTTGTTTCTATCTTAGGTTCATTAGAATTCATACTTCTGCAAGGACTTACTGAATTACTGGTCATGATTGGATTGCTGTGCGTTTCAAATTTTTTGCGTAGCTTGATACTGGAATTGAAGAACGAGATGATGATTCGCATGGTCAGTTATACATGATTACTATTCCTGGAGGAATGCAGGCTACAGTTCAGGTTTACCAAGTTATGTTTTGATACTGTATGAAATTTTTTTCTTGGTCTGACAATAGAGAGACTGACCTCTCAATATTCAGGACTCTCCAAGAACTTCTGCTATTTTGATAGGAAAATCATGGAAGGCAAAACTAGTTGATCAGAGCAATTAGCTCGTGCTATTTTGTTCCCCATGAATTGTAATTAGATGATTGTGTGTCTTATCTCTTCATCTCTATTTTTCCTTTAGTTTATAAACTTGGAAGTTGGAACTAAAACTAAACATAAGAATTAGTGTATTTTCTGCCGAGAGTCTGTCAGAACCGCCTCTGTTAACCCTGAAAAGGTAGGGTTAAAATCTGCGTACATCTTACCCTTCCCAGATCCCACTTGTGCAACTATAGTAGTATGGTATTGTTGTAAATATGAAAATTGAAATTGATTTAAATTGCCATTTTCATAGGTTTAACTAAGAGAAACATGTTTACACCAACTCAATTGATGCAAACATGTGTTTTTCATACAAACAATTATCACTTGACCTTGGTTAAGTGACATTTATTCTTTAGTTTTCAACTGCTAAGGTTTAATTGTTTGATTTGATGTAAACACTGAATGTGGATGGACAAGTATTTACGACACTGTCATGGAGGCCTTTGGGTGTCAATTTTAATTTATTTTTCTGGAAATAGAAGACAAAAAGAGCTGTTCTATTGGAAACATGAACTTTGCATTAATAAGCTTTGACAGGTTTTATACAACAGAATGGCAAATACATTTTTTCAATGCCATATAGTTGTTATTATTTCAAGATAAGAATATTGTATATATGCTGCAATATCCAATTATCCTTTATTGGATATATGTATCAGCTACTTGAAGGAAGGTCATGATGATGGGCTTGTTCGCATCGAATCTGATGCTTGCTTTCAACATCAGTGAAGCTATCTTTCCATCTACAGAGTTCAAATGGTAAAAAAGAAGCCATAAACATCACATACTACATATATAGAAACAGATTCAAGATTTGAAAATATTATTTGCAAAATACCAATGGATTCATCAAGTGGGTGCTATATTATTTCTCGTTTTGGTAAATTGAATTGTTATAAAATAGTTGTCGTTTCAAAAAAATAAAAAGTATGTATTACCTTCTTTTTTTCAAGTTTTCTTTTACCATACGAGAAATTGGCCCCGATCTGCTTTCTTAAAAGCAAGGACCACTACGGGAGGTCAAACCAAGGATCTATGGAAGTGGGGGCTCGTCCCCGGTCAATATTGGATCAAACAATAGGGGGCCGTAGCACTGACCTCTTTTTTTTATTGATTCAATACAATAGGGGAAAAGATCGTACAGTTCCCTACCGAGACAAACTCTCAACGGATCCTCCGCGCGCTGGGAATACCTCTTCCGTGCGTCTTTCTCGTGGCGGTCGGTCTAATTAGTGGAGTGTTGATTAAAAGACACTAAGTTGTTGCACTAATAACTTGCTAGCACTAGCACACTAGGGCTTTTCAGCCTTGAGCCTCCAAATGCGACATTTAAAAGAGATAAAAGGTAGTTTAGGTGTTTGTTTTTTTAAAATTAAGGCAGTTAGATATGTTTATTGCGGTGAATTTTTTCTAAATGACATTAGATAATATGGATTAGAGATTGTGCTACTGACCTTTTTATAACAATATTTTATAATGGTCTAGTCTTTTTTGAACTAACTTTTCACGTTGTAGTATATCATATATTCTCTATAGTAGCATTTTCGTTGTAGCAACTAGAAAACATTTGAACAAACAATGTTGTTACGGAGAGATTGACTTTGTATGTTTTAGAGAGTTGGAGAGAGAGACCTGAAAGTAAGTCTCAAGCTTAGTCTTTAGAGTATCATACTCTTGCTTCACTTCTTGGAAAATGTTTCTGCACCTGCAAAATTGCTCATACATGAAAAATTGCACATTTAATTTTCAAATATCCATTGGTTTAGAGAAGAAGACAATTACCCCTCTATATTTTTTGCATTACAGTATTCCTGAAACTGAGAACATTGTCTTTTTACTCTTCTGGCACCAATGCTGCCAACAAAAGTTCTAATATTAATATTGTAAGTCATGCAGTAAATATTGTTTCTTTCACATTGTTTATCTTATTATCTTCTTGTTGTTACTGCTTCATTTTCTTCTATTCTTGAGTCGGGAATTTATTAGAAATAACCTTCCTATCCTCACAGTATAAAAATAAGGTTTGTGTTTTACTCTACCCTCACCAAACCCTATCCATGAGAGTATATTCATTATGTTGTGGTTGTTGTTGGATGCAGTAAAGAGAAATACACTTTTTCTGGAGGAATAATAGTGTTTTAGAGTTGGAAATACCTGATTTTAGACAGTTGGACCAATGAGATTATATCTTTGGATTGTGAAGTCATTATTTTTATTACTGTAATAAAACAATTAAAATGTTTGGTTTTTTTTTTTTTTTGGAGGGGGGGGAGGGGGAGGGGGAATGTCTAGAAAATCTAAAAGGTGTATGAGGCTAAAGAAATTTAATTGATTATTCAACCTACTCAATAATTAGCTTTATCATTATTCACTTTTGTAGTCAAACTATATTCAAGGAGATTTCCAAATGTGGACCCAAATAGATTCATTATACTCCCTCCGTCCCATTTTATATGTCATCCCTTTCTATAAATAGTTGGATCACAATACTTGTCATTTTATAAAATTTATGCACAAATTATCATATTTTGCCTATTATAACCTTAATAGAGTAGTTAATTAATCTTGAAAATGTATTCATCATTTATTATAAAGTTGACTTAAGAAAATATTAAATAAGGGTAGAAGGGTAAAGTTACATCATTTCTTAATGCAAGTGCAAAGTAAAAAGGTAGCATATAAAATGGGATGGAGGAAGTACTTTTCTAACTCTTTTTTGTTATTCTTTGAAAAGGTGACTCAAAATGTTAGTACAAAAGAATATATATATATTGATTATATACGAATATCTTTATAATGCCGTCTATCGGAAACTTTCTTTTTTCTTCCAAGTTAAAAGTAAGGTCGCATACACTCGACCTTCCTCAAATTTCACTCATAAAATTGCACTGAATATGCTATTGTTATTGTTATTGTTATTGTTATTGTATAGTATAATTTAACATGTTATAACATGTTACTTATCACTTATTTCAGATTATTAATCAATATTACTAAATAATGTGTAATTACGTTTTAGGTTATATGATCATGTAAATATTTTTTGCATCGTCAATAGATGTGCTCTTGTGAAGTTGGAGATGATACCTTGAGCTGCTACCCTTGAATTGGTACATCATATTATCCAGTCTAGCAAAATCATAGGGTCCATTTTCCCTGAAACAATATTAAATTTATCAAGTATTAATTAAATTTTTCTAATTGCGTGATGTATACATTTGTAAATCATGTAGAGAAATGATTTAGCAGAAGAAATGGGGTATATATATCGTGTGAGAAAATGAGTTTTTTGTTATTTTTTATATGATGTTATATTGGTATTATATAAGGTGAGTTCCTAACATGTCTCGTATATATTTGTTTATATATATGACAATTTTATACATGTAATAGGTGAATAACTTTTGTAGAAAAAATATTATTTTTTGTGGCGATTGTCATCCCAATGATATATAAGGGGGTGACTATACTTGATAGAATGTTGAATTAATACTGTTTGTGATATTTATATATAATTTTGTAACCAAAAAAAAAAACTTAATTCTTACAATGCTAGTTCAATATTTCGAACATATCTAGCTGAATCTGTGTAATACAACTTGACAACTTCTTCAACAAAGTTAGGGTTTGCATCATCTTGCAATTCTTCAAGATGAATAAATTGTTCATCAAGGTATCCCTGCACAAAATAATCAAACATTATTTCTAGGAATGCGCATTACACCTTACGCGAATTTCATATTAGAATGAGAGAAGAAAGTTAGGAATCTTATAAGAATGAGTTCAGAATCAGTTGTTGAGGCGTCTTTTGAGTTAAAATTTAGGGATAAATCTATGTGAGCCTAAGGCCAAAGTAGACAATACTTTAATAGTTGGACCAAAATCGTTATAGATGGTATTAAAGTAGGACTCTTCCTTACTCCTTAGTACAATAGTGGAGCAAATTCAACGAGGACATTGACTCTCTAGGGGAGTGTGTATGTGATGTTTATGAAGGATGGCAAACCTCTAAAGAAGTGGTGCATATTACCCCTTAGGCGAATCTCACTTTGAAATGGACAAGATGTGAATGAAAAAAAAAAGTTAGGGACCTTATACGAATGTCTTTTGACTTAAAACCAAAAAACGAATCAACGTCAGTCTAGAACCAAAACAAATAATACTTTAACAATTGGATTTCCTATAGAATAATTTGTGAATTTTCTATTTTAAGAGATATATATAATTATTACATGTGACCAAATAAATTTAATAAAAATATGACCTGATCCAAGAGGCTTCTCTTCATGTAAGCAGCTTGGCGTTTCTTTTGGTTCTCCATTTTTTTTAACTTAACAGGGAATGAAAAATTGAATATTGTAAATAAATATAATATCTTTGAAAAATACAAAGGGTTTACTATTTCTAGAGGCTAGAATTGTCTGTATATATAGGGGGAAAGTGAGTAAATTCAAAGAAGAAAAAAGATAGACAAAATGGTCCAAATCACAAGAACTTTTTTCTTTCTTTTCTTGGACCAAAATTCCTACTATTACTTTACTAAAATCAAACAACAACAACATAATCCGAGTTAAAGTGGGATATGCAGATGATAAAATGTACGTATGCGAATTTTATCTTTACCTCATAGAGATGCAAACGAAAGTGAGGTACAACAAGAGATTGTTTTCAATAAATCTTCGACTGAACTCATTGTTAGTTGCACTCTCTATTTGTCTGTAACCGAGTTCGGAAACCTTCTCAATTTTTTTTGTACTATGTCATCGCCAACAATCAACTCTTATTCCTCGGTGATATATCATATATGCCACAATTAAAGTCTTCGTTATTACAATTTGAAGTAACTACATAATCTTAACATCAACAATAGTTAATGTTAATGTCTTTTAAACACTTGAACATCATTTTGGCTCGTTGATATTTTAAGAATTTTTACTAGACTATTTAGAGTAATAAACTTCTTGGGCCGTCTTTGGAGTTAGAGTTCTCTCATTTTTTAAGTGAGTCGTCCTTGTTAATTAGGGAGCGTTTTATCCGTTAATGTGGTACTTTTGGCGTGAATTCGGATTAATTGGATTCCAATGGATTCACTTAAACAAAATCCTAGGTCCATCACTGCGTAACAAAGCTAGTCAAATGTTCTCTCTCTTTCATGTAGGAGAGCAGGACTCTAGCTTGGAATATTTTATCTATTCTGATCCCTTTTTTTTTTTTACTTCCTGCATTTCAATTTATGTGATATAATTTGACTAGGCAATAAATATGATAAATATGAGAAGACTTTGCAGTCTTTCAAAACTATCCTTAAAAGAGTACACCTAACACCTTTATTGATTTTTTGCCAAATAAGTATAGTTGAACATAAGTAAAATGTTGGATAGTGTCATTAACTTTTTGTCAAATAAAAAAATGAGGCATTTTTTTTAAACAAACTAAAAAGGAAAAAGTATCATATAAATTGAGACAAATGAAATAATATTTATATAAGAGTTTATTTCGCTCTTGAATATTTCAAATTTATTTTTAAATGCTTTTAGTTTTTGAAGCCGACGATATATATGAAACAACCCCTTTATATGTTTGTGTACATTATGGGTGTGTTTGGTATGAAGGAAAATGTTTTCCAATTTTCTCATGTTTGGTTACCAGCCCCCCACCCCCTACCAGCCCTCCACCCCCAAAAAAAAATTTAAGTTTTTTTTTAAAAAAAAATATTTTTAACTTCAAACTTTCAATTTTTCACCCCTACCCTCGATCCCCCCCCTACCAGCCCCCACCCCCCAAAAAAATTAAGTTTGTTTTTAAAAAATATTTTCAATTTCAAAAATTATTTTCTACTCTAGTAAAAATAAAAGAAATTTTTCAAAAACATTTTTCATTCATAAATCAAACACAAAAAATCTTTTCCGAAAAATATTTTCTACTCACCAACCAAACATGAGAAAATAAGTCAAAAATCAACTTGTTTTCCAAGAAAACATTTTCCATGGAAACATTTTCCTTCATACCAAACACACCCTATGTCATCCTCAAACCTCATTTATGGAATCACACTGAATATGACGTTTCTTTTGTTTAAAAAGCTTAGTTCTCAATATTTTCAACCTTCCATTTTCTAGTCCATTAATTTCCTCTTTATACACCTTCACATATTCTGTGATTTAGACAAGAAGTAATGGGACATCAAAAACAAGTTGACGAATCTTTTTCCAGTAAACGAATATATATATATATCTAATATCAACAAAATTATTTGAAGGAAATTAAAAAAATAAAGAAAAAGTATAGGCGAATATTTTTGGAATGATTGATAAGGTGGCCACACAAATAATATATGTCAACCATGACGTCATATGAGTTTTAATATGAATATTCAATTTATATGTATCTTTGTTTGTATTCATCAATTAATAATTATGTTTGTGTGTTTTTTGAATTTCTTGATATTCCTTTAATTTTTAGGTGTTTTTTGTGTGTGTGTTGAATAAGTTAATATTTGTCTAAGTATTATTATTATCTCTCTTCTTTAAAAAAAATCTTTCAATTATAAGTCAAGTATCCCTTTTTTAGGGAAAATTAGCTAACTAGTCAAAATTTCTAACATAATTATTAAAAATATCTACACTTTAAAATAATTATTTAAAATGTCAATATGTCAATATTTTAGCAAATAAAGTGTATCCATCATATTCTCTCTCATATTTTTTCAATTTAATTTTTATCTCTCTCATATATAGCAAATTATATGTTTATAATTATCCTCCTAAAATAAATCCTATTTTCACTCCCCTTCAACCACAATTTTCACTCTCCTTCAACTCCACTTTCTCTTATTCATTATTTTTATTCCCCTCTCTCTGTCCAGATTTTTTTTTTTTTCAAATTGAAAAAGAATTATACAAAAGATATGCATCAAATTATCATTTGATTTGATCGGATAACTTCTTATTGGGTTTATATTTATTATGTATGTGGTCCTGTTTAATTTTTTTGATTTATTAGATACTGATTCTTGACTCATTTTCCATAAATAGAATATATTACATCTTTAAGTATCCAAATTTAGCTTACTAAATTGGGATGAGTCTCATATGCAAAAATATTTTGATGAAAATTCTTAGAAGAAATATTTTACTCAAAATTTTATTTTGATATTATTAATATTATTTTATAAACTATTTATTACATGATTCAACATACACATACAATAGATATTTTGGAGAAATCAGTATAATATAATGAAGAACAGGGAGACATTTCACATTGAATGTAATAACGTTTATTAATTTGATCCATTATAAAAAAAGAGAAAGTTTTTATTTCTGAAATTCATGTTTAAATTTGAAAAATCATCAATAATAATCAGTAAGACGGAAGAATTTTAAATATATTTATAATAAAATGTTTTTGCATCTCATTTATTCCTTTAAAATGCTTTTGCCTAGTTTTTTTTTGTACTAATAATTAGTACTGTACTTGAATACAAGAATAGAGTTATTAGTATGCCAACTAAAAGTCCAAAATATGAGAAAAAAAACAGGACATGCCCTTTATTATATTCTTCTTCCACCAAATTGAAGGAGATGGTAAAAAAAACAAATTTATGGAACCCTTTGACCAGCTCTCACTATCTTCTAGTCTGGCAAATTATATATACTAGATACAAAAGTCCGGACAAGTCCAGGCCTAATATTATTTTATTTATTTTAATTTTATAATTTTATTGTTAATTATTTTTGTAATATTTTAAATGTACTTTTTAAATAATATATGTGACACATGTGACATTTTGAGAGTTTTAATTTGTAAACAGTCACAATAAACCTAAAATGACTAAATTATTTTCGAACTCAAATTTTATTTTCGGGAAGCACACACGTCAACCGAGACTGAGACGTGTATGCTTATTCCCTCTTATATATCAGTAGTATATATATTTATATATTGTATATGCTGGAGATAAGGAATACATCTCAGGATATATGTGATCCTCTTTTGGGTATATATCTTCTATATACACCTCACAATAATGAAGTACTAATAAGAAGAAATATTGCTAATTAAGAATTTTCAAGAATTGATATATATTTATTAGAATTGGTATAGTTATAATAGGTGTAGAAACATTTTTTTACTATATATTTTATTGTTTACTTTAATCTAAAGTTATTTCGTTGTTTGATAAATATTATATAATGTATATAGGTCAAAATTTACTTTTTATACATATTATATATATTAAATCTTGAATGTTCTAAGTGAGATTTTTGGCTTTATAACTATCCAAAAATATTTAATCGTGAACTTAACATATTATACAATATCTTGAAATTATTGTAATTTTTTTTTTTAATAAACTTCAAAATTTTGAGTCTATCTTTATCTCGATATATATACATACCTAGAACCACTTTAGAAAATTGTTTGTTTACTTATGATGAGTGCCTAACAACAAGAAGTTGTTGTCTAATAGATAATCTACTACTAGTAGATATATATCGGAATTGAGTCAATTTTTTCACTAAATAAGATTAAAATATGAAAAATTAAATGTATGAAAAAAGTTAAATGAAATTCAACATCTACTATATATATACGTAAAAAATTAATCATACATAATTAAATAGTTTAATTTTTTATCAAAAAAGATTAAAATGAACCCTCTCGACGTTACCTAGCTCTGCCCTGAAATATATCATAGGCATATTAATAATAAAACTATTGTTTTGGTTTATTCCATTGCAATTGTATGGGTTGCAAAAGGCAAAACAACTTTTTGCATATGCTGCGAAATGGCGCCACGGCCACGCACATCTATTTCTTTGTGGGCACGCGGAGGTGTCTGATTTGCAACACTTTAAGTATATTTTGGATATGATATGTTTTTGTTTTTTTTAATTTTGCTATATAAAATTCACACTTTAACACATGAGATTTTTTAACGAGTAGATACTTCTCTAAGAACATAATCTATTTCTAGTTAAATATATCACAAGATGTTTTTTCATATTTTGTGCATTCAGTTCTAACTATTTCTAAGCTTCTAATTTGGATAACAACAACACTACCTTCTAGTCCGGGTATGCAATGTACAGTCACAGGCTACTGCTCTAGAATCGTGAACATATAAAATTCAAATCTTGACATAGTTCTATATTTGTGCAAAGGGGACATATCTTACTAACATCATATTCATCTAAATTTAGTACTTTTAATACAAAACATAAGTTGGGCTCTAAGAAATCAGACATGCAATGTTTTAGCTCAATGGTCATCATCAAAAGGATTTGACACAATGTATACAACTTCTTCTTTAATTAGACATCTCGATTTTGAGTTTTTTGTATGAAAAAATTCTTGACAAGGAGCACTACTTCCAAATAGGACATA